GGCCTTCTTTTCCCGAAGACAGCGAGCTAATAGAACTGCACTGAATGAATTGTTGTGTTCTTGGCGGCTAAAAGCTTAAAGCTCCTTAATTCACCTTTACTCTTTCACAGGCTTTTCTATTTCTGTTGCTCAGTTATCAGTTAATCTATGAATCTGTGTGTTTGAAGAGAGGGAAGGAAGATGTTGTAATTTTCATTTTTTTCTATGTATACAGAACTGGAAAAAAAAATCAGTAAAACAGCTTCACAGGATTATCATACTGACTGACGTCATTAGTCACTTTAGGACTTTCGAAGGTACTTGTTTTATCATGTATGTATGCATTTGGTGGGTCAAACTGGTAAAAATGGAGAATGACATTGATTCTGGCTAAAAGAGATTGCATTTTCACAAAAAGTAAAAACAGAAGAGAGGGCTGCTGTAGAATAGTATCGCATCACTGCCAAGATCGACAGTGCCCCCTCCTGGTCATTTGCACATTTAAGTTTTCCAGTCTACTTAAAACCACCTCCTTTGAAAGCTGAAATATTAAATCACCTTCTCAACATTTTTCCAGAAAGAGTCATATTTAAAAACAATATACTTACACAAGGCTAAAGGGATTGAAAGTTAAAATCATCCTGTAACTGTTATATATATATATATATATATATATATATATATATATATATATATATATATATATATAACTATTAATTAATAGTTTTATTTTTTTGTAATAAAAAAAATCTGAATTCAGTGTCTTATGATGAAAAACAAAATAACTTTAAAGGGGCGTTGTTATGTATTTTCCAGGCTCATAGTGCAATGGAGCCAAGACATTTAAGTAAGTGTTTGAATCCTGCCAGAAATGTTCTGTTTTGAATTAAGAAACTCAGACAGCAGCTGTTTTTGAATATTTGCTTGGTAATCAAATATGGTAATCAGTGAATCTTTTACTGTCGTCCCGCGGCTGATTTCCAGCTGATTTGCGCAAATTGGCCACATATCAATCTGAACACAGTCGCCCTGAACACAGTCCAGGGCGACTGTGTTCAGATTGATCTGTGGCCTCTGATTTGAAAACATTATGCAACTTTATCTAATTTTCAGTAAAAGAAAGTCCTTTCTTACCTATAATCTTCATGTTTAGAAACAATATCCACAGGTTCATCAGTGGTCTGGCTGTTGACTTAGAGCTATGGTTATCTCTTTGGTCTTGGCATTAACTCACCAGCCTCATTGTCTCTCAGCTTTGGTTTGTCTTTTCTTTTAAAATTTGAGATTTTAATTATTTTATATCTCTGTTGCCAAAAATTTGTCCAACAAAGACACTGCTTTTGGTGGTTGAGGAGAGATTTGAACTCTCACATCTATTTCCTGAAGAGATGACACACATCCAAATCAATCAAGAAAGGTACAGAGTGTAACTTTTCATACTCAAGTGAAAATTTGAGCTCTGTCCAGCCATTTTACAAACACAATGAGTTGTTTCATATTTCTTTTTTATGTCATATATTAAACACTAACATCCAATCTTTTCAGCTCATGTTTATTGTTCACCTTGATTTTAGCTCTCAGTTTCATTGAATTGTAGACATTTCTAAATTATTAGAGCCGTTTTCTTTGAACAAAAAATATTCTATTACTGTTTGAAGAACTAATCCTGAATAAAGAACAAGAAGAAAAACTAAGGAAAGGTCTGTGGGTGACAAAAAAGCTCTTGGCCATTTTTTCTAAATAATCAAATGCAATGTGTGAGGGAGTTCTTAAAATAGAGAGAGATAATTCATTATGGAGCTCAAACAATTTAGACTTAGATGAAAAGCAACAGGGGTGTGGGCATTGCATTTGCATGTAGCCCTGTCTAAGGTGTGCATGGTTTCTTTTCTTTTGATATTACATGCTTTATAAATTTTCTTGTAGGGATTAATGTCGTTCTCTTCAAACTAGTTGCAAGGAACTACAAAGTTAGCCTGACCACCGGGAGGGTTTTTAGAACTGTGATCTTCTTTATGGATAGCCGGGGATAATCCCAAACTATTACAGTAGCCAAAGCTTCCTTGGAAAAACTGTTTATGGATTTATTGCCTCGAGATAGGATTCAGAAGCCACTCACACAATACAGTTGTTCAAAACTGCCAAAACACATTTCCTCAAGGCTCACATTTTACTCTACACTGTAGGTGGAAAACAGAACTGTCAATCTGCTCTCACAAAATATTTTCATGGAAAGTCAAAGTAAACTGCTTAAAAGCTCTTAAATCTGTTCACAAAATAAACATAATGGTCTTAGACTGCTCTAGCAAACAGGAAGGAAACACTCCTGTCAGTACATCCATGTTTATCTTCTTCTCAGAATTTGACCAAATTTCTACATCTCAAAGTTATCTAACTTTATCTAATTAAATTTAGGCATTTTTATTCCAATCAGATGAGTAAGTAACATTCAGCTATTCATTAGTCAAAAATAATCACACAAGGAAAAAAGGAAGGAAGTACAGTACAGGATTAGCCAGGATGGCTAATCCTGTTTTATTATTGTTATAATTGTTCACTTTTGCAGTTGAATTAGATTCCAGTAAACATTAAACTGGTAAGATACAATGACGTAATGCACACATCTAAATCAACCTTTGTGCTGCCTGCAATCTCACACCCTTTAGCACAAGATCCCACATTAAACTCACTTCTGTTGCCAATTCTGTTTATGTAAAAGCCCTAAAGAGGCTGCTGTATGAACTGAAAGCAATAGCATAGTGCAGCAACACACCAAACAGCATAAAAGTGAGAATTATGTCATTGACATGGTCATAAACATATAACATGTTCAGTTTCCTTCAAGGACCTGTGCGATTTCCAAAGCTTTTCTCAGTCGGAATTTGCTTTTAATCTCCCCCTGAAAACATTGGGACATCTACTTCCCATTATTGTTGGGGAACATGGCAACCAGCTCATTTTGTGAATGTGGCAGTAAAACTATTGAGGGAAATGATGTGCATGCAGTGAAAGGCTCACAGCAGGCTGTATTGGGTCAGTGTCAAGTTCAGTTAAAATGTCAGTAATGATACTTGTAAAAATAAGGAAAGAAAAATATTGCAGAATATGTGATATAATATTCAATGCCATTATAAGGAAGCTGTAATGTCAAAAGGTGTGTTATTGTGAAATATGTATAAAAAATTATTTATATGTATGTATTTTTTTTTCATGACTACCTTTGTTCAGAATGTGTCCTTTCACTAAAATCCACAGAGAGGAACACTTTGAATATGCCAAGTCACATATTTATTTATTCTCAAAATGTCAACATGCTCTGCAGAGCCCTCTCTGTGAACTGTGAACAAATACTGATGGGATCCAAGCTCTCAACAACAATGCCAGCTATGTTTAAAGACTTGGAACCCAGCGCCCTCTAGTGTTTATATTCTAAACCACACCCATATGTTCATAACTCAAATTCAGATTTAAAGTTATAAATAACGTAGCAACGACAAAAACAAAAATAAAGGCTTTGTTAAATTGATGAGTATTTTAATGTAACGTTTGCCATTTCCTACAATATAAAATCACTTTAACAACATAATAAAAGCTTTGATTAATTTCTGTGCACAAAGCATGGAGCCGCAATTGGACTGAACATTGCCATTGTTCTCCTATCAGCTCCTCTCAGATGGGTTTTAATGTGGATCCTATAGTCAACCTAATGAGGCTTGCTACAATTACAAAGGGACTGACAGTTAAAAAAGGGGGCAGTCAATCTCGCCTCCTCCAAATGACCAGATCAGTCAGTTGCAAATGTTCTCCACCCGGCCGATGTCACCTGCTGAAGTTTTATCAACGCAAGGTCAGGCTGCCATGATCTGTTACCTAACCACAAGGTGATGTGCATCTTGCCCTCGGCATAACAGATTTCTCTGTCATCTTTATAGCCCTTTGGATATAGGAAATGAAAATGGGAACATATTGTTGTTGTTATAATTTTAGGCTCATCCCGTTCTGCTTTTGATGGCAATGCCTTTGCTTGCAATTCAACACCATCTGGCTAAGTCTGTGCAGTCGGGAGCTGGAAGCTGTTCGAACAACCAGTCTTCATTCAGAATGCAATCATTGGTTTTGGCACATTGACATAACCCATTTGCTATGAGAGTGCCCAGTTAATGAGTTTCACTTAATGTTAATCTCATGTCATCTATTCCCAGAGTTACATGACTAGTTAGAGGGAAAAAAAAAACAAAAGACAAATAAGCCTTCTCAAAATTATGCTGATATGTGTAAGTCAAAATGTCAACTTTTTGTGTATTTGCAAAAGATCAATATGCACCTATGTGGTAGTGAACTTTCAGGGTATCTTGTTTGTTGTACTCCAACAAACAAACATTCCTGTTGGGTCATTCTGTCAGACAAACATGTAAGGTTGTGGAGACCTGGCAAACATTTACTCTGTTCTTTATGCAAACCTTCAGAAATTAGCACTTAGGATTCATTTGCAAATCCAAATTTCATTAATAACACATATTCAGATGAAAAGAGGATCTAATAACAAAAGGTTAAATCTACCAAACTAGCTAGTAAAGTAGGACAATTAACAAATAAAAATAAAACATTCATTTTGTGTTTTTTTTTTTTTTTTGTTCGTTTGGTTTTTGCTCAGATTGTAGTTCAGATCTTGAATCTCATGAGGTTGATTATGTTTTGCAAACTGAGTGCTATATAAATTGATTCTCTTCTCAAACAAAATAAAACATTTGAAAGGGCTGTGGCATGTACTGTATGCAACATTTTAAGATTTCCTCTTGGGTATTTCCGACAATTTCATCATCTTCAGTGATCATAATTGTTCATTGTTGCAAGACACTTGTTAACTAGCCTGCAGTGTAGTCCAGGCTGGGTAAAAATCAGATTTCACTGATTTTTAACCTTTATTCCATTGACAAATGGTACGGAAGATGCAAGCCACTGGAGAGTCAAATCACAAAATGACTACAAAGGAAACACAAATGTTGCTCTACATTTATTAGTCTAATTAATCAATTCTTCAGAAGATATTTTCAATAACATAATACAAACTGATAATTTTAAAACTGATGACAGTCTGACAATAGGCTTAGAATACTGGTTTTGGCTGCAGTTGTTTGTCCACAATGGTACATCAGGCATCTGTCTGCCATCTGGGCTCTGCAGTTTTTCTGCAAGAAAAACAGATTTTATGAGGAAAAACAAAACAGATTCTTGGCATTAATCTTTTCTCATTTGCTTTTAAGAGGAAACTCAGAAATACACATCCAATTGCAGAGGCACAATTTCATCAAAAAGGCAAAAGAGGTTGTGAATGTGTTCACTGAAGGTTAGCTGAGATTACTTACAATTTAATATTCTGTTGAGCTTGTCAAGTTATGACAACGCCAGTCGCTGTACCATTGGACCGGAAATGACATATCTTTGTGCAGTGTATACTTTACAAACACAAGAAAACATAATCCATGCAAATAAATATTTAGATATGATATGAGGATGTACGTTTAAATGAACACAAAGCGTGAAGTTGAAATATTTAATGGTACCTCTGGTAGTTTAATCTCCACATCAAGGGCGTCTGTCCAGGCACCAAAAACTCTTGCAGACACTTCATGCTCTGGATTTCTCTCATTTTTCTGGGAGAAGCCATGAAGTAATGCCACACCTGGGATGTACCGTTCAATTCTAGAAAAGGCAGGTTAAGCAGTAAGATATACGATACTGAGTTCCCTTATTCAGACGTGAAAAGTCAACATTCCTCAATAAATATTTTCACAATGGAACCATTGAAGTGAAATTTGTATCAGATGTAATCAGAGCCATCCACCCTCAAAAATGACAGTAAATTAAACCAATAATGAAGACATGTGAATATCATCATTATTAGAATCACACAGAAAATATTGTGCTGGAAATTGCATTTTGAAAGAGAAAATGACATAATAGATCACAACAAAAGCACTGCATTGGCAGTGAAATTTCAAGATGGGAACACCATCATGTCAGGTTATTTTCTTAGCATATAGTAGAGACTGGTCTCCATACATCTGACTGAAAGAAGAATGATGAAATGTACCACTACTTTCTTGATGAGAATGTGGAACATGTGAACAATGATATCAATTACATAATCAATGAACTCTCAGATCAGTGGAAGAAAATAAAGCTATGATGATGTACAACACAACTTGAATCCAGCTAAGAAATGTGAAAAACATGATGGTCAGATTGAACACAAGATGGTTCCAGACCCTTCAAGATTTAAAGAAATTTGTTTGAAAGAATGGCCAAAAATCACACTGGAAAAATAAGTGTTATTATTTTTTTCCTATATTCCTCAGATGTCACTAAGAAATTCTGCATCACACAAATATCCCATAAATATAAGATAAAGCTCCAATACCTATTGCTACATTATTTTTAACAACTTTTTCATCTGTTTTGACTTCTTTGTGTAGATTTCTTGATCACTCACTTTTAGTGTGTACTGACATTGCATTATGTTTACTGAGAAGAACACTTTGTTCAATTCACAATTTTTCCTTCTCTGAGTCATACTGATTATGCATTCATCTTTACACAACGTATTCTCTTCCTTAATTGATGCATTCCTTTAAAAATTACCTTTTGCCAAGGTCAGTCAAGTACTCTGAAATCCTGGTCCATTGTGCTTTGGCCTTGAGCTCTGGCTTGGAACCATCGATATATGCAGCAGTGGCTTCCAGTGAGATGTCATAGGGCTGACTTTCATCGCCCCATATGATGTATGCCTAAAACGAGGCAATAAATAAAAATAATAATATTAAAAACAACTGCACAAACCAGGAAGCAGATTTTAAAATGTCAAGAAATCATATGGTAAAGAGGATCAGTTTTTCCTGTTTTCTTACTAACCTTTGCTTTAGCATCCATACTGGCATCAACATACATCTTCCAGTTGGTGCCCGCTCCAACTTGGGACACAATTAGATGGGCATTTTTAATGCTTGCTTCAGGTACATGGTACATAATTGCATCATAACCCTCAGGCTTCTGGTTTTCAATGATGGCGAAAGCTTGGAAGTTGAAGATAGCTTTAGATGTCGAGCTCTGGGCATAAGAAATGAGTACAAAAACATGTAACTGCTGCTTCATGGATGCAGAATATTCATAATTGCAAATACTAAGATAGAATTAATACACGCTGTCTGTCACCTAAGCCGTGACATGTCACGTAAATGCTTATAAAAAAAGGTCAATCACGGCCACTATTTTTTAAGTTATTGAGGAGGCAAAAGCACAGCTCAGATATTTTCCTTCATAAGCTTTCTCAGCTTAAACTGTACAAGCCATACTTCCAGAAGGATGCTGAGATGTCTGTCATTGAAGTCTCTGTCTCTTTCAGATGAGTTTGTAGATGGATCAATTTCTTCTGTCCCTTCCTGAAAACACATTTTTAGAACAGTTTGAAAATTTGATGGGATCACCCACCAGAACAAGTGCTGTGATAATAACATTGCGCATGATGTCAAATACCTTGGAAAGCCTTGTCAGAGTCCCAAACAGTTGGCGTGCACTTATTGGAGGTTTGCTGGGATGAATGACAAGCTCAAAGTGGATTTTCTCAACAGCTTTTGTTGTCGGAACTGATAAAAGTGCAGAGATTTCATTAGCATAGAGGGTTAAAAAATTGACTCAAAATAACATGAATATAGTAGCAATAGATGTGTTTTGTGAAGATGATTGTTTGAATGATAGCTTTGCTAAATCCTTTAAGAAGCTGTTTTAAAAATAAAAGCTTCAAAGAAGTCAATCAGACTGACTGCTAAGGTGAAAATGTTGCAAAGTAAAAGGAAGAGGAATAGATTGTTTGCTGTTGTGAATATCAGGATTTCTTTCATATTCAATGCAGGAAATGATTTCCAGGGAAGAGGCCAAGAACCCGTGTTACCATATCCTTTATTTTGTTCTAAGAATGTAGCTGCTGTTGTGTTCTTGCACCAAATGATGATGAGGATGTTCAGAAGTCTTATGCTTCAAGCCCAAGTCAAATCTTAAGTCTTTTGCTCAAGTCAGTATCAAATCTAAACAGTATAATTTTTTTTTTCAACAAATTCAAAGCTTTACATTTAGGAAATGTAAGGTTACTTTTTAGTTACTTCATCAAATTTAGTTGTAAGGCTCTAAATTCAAATACCCACTCCTTACAATGAAGGTTAAGGAATACCATTTGGTAGAATTGATTGGTAGAACATCTGCAAACAAGTGTTCTTTATTCATTATTGTAAAAATGTTTCTGTTGATTTAAGCTTCTGCATCATTCATCCACCCACAGGGAGCAAAATTGCGTTAATGTGATACAATATTTTATTATATTTGGAACATGAATAGAGAGATAAAACAGACGAGCATAAAATGTGCATCATTTATCTAAATATCATTGAACATCCATTATGTTCCTCAAGCAATAGTTTTACTTTTAAAAGCACTTACACAAAACAAAAATCTTACATACCTGGAATTATTTTGAATGCCATGTAGCTGTATCCAAGAAAATAGTACAGTGGGTACTCCTCATCGTGATACTCTCGTTTTAACTCGTATTCCAGGCAGAAACCCACTCCATAAATGTTGTCTTCATGGCACATTTTCAGAGAAGGATGCCAGATGTAGGGTTTCATTACCTATTAGAGCAAAAAATAAATAAATCCACATGACATGAATCTCTTCATACTGATATAAATGATTCTTATATCAAAAGCAAAGAATGTATCTGCTGTGACTCAAGTCCTACATTGAGGGCAGCAGATTGGGGCATTATTGGAGTCATTTTGGATGCATCTAGATCTTCAATGTTCCTGGACACTGCATACACATCTGATCTGTTTAAAACATAAAATATTTACTTCAGTATGGTGATAAAAATTTTTTGGGGTGAGCAAATGTTGATTGAATTTCAGGTTTCGCATCGCAAGACAACAATGATGCAAAATATAACCAATAGAATCTGTAAATCAAGTCATAAATATGGTTTATAATAACCCCCATGTAAAAAACAAATATGGTTATGTTATTAAATTCAGTCAATCATTTTATCATCATGCAAAATTACCTGGTCGAAAGAAATTCAATTTCCTTTGTGGTAGGGGGGAAATCAAGCTCAAATTTCTTTTCTGGCACATTTAGCTTGGCAGAAAACTTCCATGGTACAGCTAAGGGCCTCTTAAGCTTTAACTCTGAGCCACTCTGGAAGATTTTTGTGTTGACCCCGTAGAAAACCCAAAAGTCCTTGGTGCAACTGAAAAAAAGAAATTTAACATAACATAATGTAAGAATAAGTGTCATCAACTATAGCATTGCTTAATGTAAAAGCAAAGTATGCATATCTTGACATGTCTGACATCAATGTGACCAAGACTGTAAAATTTATGATCACTAAAGCAGTTAATTTTGGCTAACTTAAAGAAATGTTTGTTTATTAATCAAAACGTAATCAGTATTAATAATTAGTTAACTGTCATTAACTGTCGATAATTGCACAAGTTACAAACTTGTGCAATTATCAGTTAATTCTACATGAAATACAAAGAAGTTTTTCATTCAGTAGTCTGATTTAAACAAGAAATTTCTGAGGTTCTCAGCAGAAGAGCTGAAAGAAAATCCCCTAATCCCATTCTTTAATGTTTATAGGATCTAATATGAAGTCTATTACAGAATTTATGCTGAACATACATACATTTTAAGCTTTTTTGTTTGTCCAAAGTGTTTGTTTACAAACAAATTGGCAACACACAGATACTAGCATACCTCATATGAGGTGCTGCCATTTTTGTTTACTTTAAGCATAATTACCCAGCGTATCCATCCGTTTCCATTGTAATTTCAGCATTCCAGAGCTGTGAAGGGCTTTCAGTGGGAGGGGGATTAACTGCAGCTTTAACTAGAAAAAAATATGTCATTGGAATTAAGATCATTTTAAAATTCTAGTTATTTTTCTCATTCATACATCACATGATAGTTTAATAATTTTTTTTCACCATTAAAGTTGACTGCAGTGATTGAATTATAATATTTGCTAATCTCCACTGGGAGCCCCAGGGATGTGGCTTGGAAGTAACGAGCCTCCAAGACCAAAAATGCCCGTGTGTAATCCCATGAGATTCCTTTCTGTAATCTCTCAATCATAGCCAACACCGGACTTGTTTTCCACGTAGCAGCTTTGAAGGCCTGAAACAATGAAAAGAATTGCAAGACTTGTTGACTTCACCATCTACTACATTTTTTTATAGATGGTAAACTACAGTGAGACAAATTATGGGTCAGTTCTGTTTCTTACATTGATGATAGTTCGGAGGGTGTCTTTGCTCATGTCAGCGAAGAACCACTCTTGCCCTGTAATACGTGAAAAAACTGAAAAGACTGGTTTTTCATTGTCCATGTTCTCCCACGATTGAAGCTGAAAATGAAAAAGTGTATTGATTACCACACGTAAATAGAAACACACACGCACACACCTAAAATATGATTTTTGAACAATCTGCTGCCAAAAATTTTAGAAAATGCGGTAATAACTTAATTGACTTGATAATTATTATGTCTTGTGTGGCTGCTGTTATTTTCATCATTTGTGAAGTTCAGAAGAGGTTTTCTGATTGCAGAAGAAAATCCTTTGCAGAAAACCTCCTGACCTTGCCAGGTTATTGGGAAACTGTCAGGCTAAAACTCTGAGACTGTTTGGTACCAACAAAAACTCATGATTCTGATTTTCATTATAACTTCTCTGACATTCAAGTTAAATGTTAGAACATAGAATATATTTGAACATTCAGGTCCCTACTCATTTTCAGACCTAAATTCAGCTGAATAAGTATTTTAGCTGTTCTTTCACTTGTGAATTTTTTTGCAGATATCATGCTGCTTCTGTTACAGTTTGGCAGCGACCTCTACGTGAAAAAGGATTTTTTATCTTTCAAATTGATATTGAAAAGAACTGAGACTAATTTGGAAACAATAGTATATATTTACTATGTTGCTCAGCTTCACTACGCCAGATAAGTGTGTGTTTTGTGGGGAAATGCTTGATAAATCACTCACCACATGGAGAATAGCCATAAGGTCATTCTTGCTAAAGTCTCCTTTAAATCCAGGAATGTGATCTCCAAACAGCTCCTTTATTCCATCAAAACTGATATCCAACTACAAGACAGGAAAGACTTTTGAGAGAAATGTCCAATTGTAATGCATGTGTATGCAGTTATGCTTAATACCTTACCTCCAGTAACTCAATAATTCGACCAATGATGTGCATTTTATTATTTGACAGAATCTCTGAGGGAATGACGTTGCTTGCATTTTTTATCATGAACAATTCAGATGTTATCCCAGTTAGCCATGCATCTGGATTGAAAAATTATACATCTTCAGGAAAGGTTTTTGAAATGGCTTTTTAACAAAAGTGTCACTATCATTTTTCAACATACCACTGAACCAGTCTGCACGCTTTGCTTTGCTGTAGTAGAAACAGAGACGGCCATGTCTGGGTGCAAGGATTTTCACAGCCAAATTGGAGGCAATCGAACTATTGGAAAGATTTCAAAAAATTAACATTTAACATTAAATTTACAGTTAAAAACAAGTTTTATTTCTTGATCAACTCACAGATACTGATTGTCTGGAACCTTGGACTTGGCAATACCATGCAAGTAAGAGTATGCAAAACTTGCAACCTGAAGGTCTGTTTCTTCCAGCAGATGAGCTGTCACAGTGGACACAAGAGCCATCGAAGGCTTAGTCTTAAAAAGAATCTTGAAGGCAAGCATGCGAATCTCAACTGGAACGTGCTTCTGCAGAAATATGGTCAGGGTGACGTCTTGGACCTGAAAGCAAAATTACTTTTAAAATTAATTACTTAATGACAAAACTTCCACAAACTTATTAAAACAGAGAGCTTTTCTTCCATTGTTGTGTTAGTTTTAGTTTCATTTCCATTGAGTGCTGCATCAGGGGTCGGTAGGATTCGACATGCTGTTTTATGCTCTAGAGCATTTTCAGTGGACTCTCACTGCTAAGGTGGGGATAAAAGAAGACACCTATTGTGGCAACGAACCGGTGACAAATCTGACAAATGTATCTCTCATGCTAATTGCAAGTGGTGACTTTTTTCCATTCCCCAATAAATGGACTGTGTGATGTGACAGCAGTAGCTCCACCCTAACTATATTGTGCCTTTGTCTTGTGGAGAACTGATGGAGACCCTGGAATGATGCCATACAGGTCAGTGGTATGGAAACAAAAAAAAAAACCCCACCATGCAGCTTACTGAAAACAAGGCATTATGGGTTGGTGAATAAAGTTCATAGCTGTCACAAGAGAACGTTTTTAGCATAATTTTTGTGTACGATGCTCTTTCCATTTTCAGATGATTGATTGAAAAGCATTCCATGAAATACTCAATGTTTAGAATTTTGTTTCATTACCAAACATAATTTTTGTCGAACTTTGTCCCTTGTGCTGAAGACTTCACGGAAGAAGTGTATTCATACTAAGATTAGATTACACTTTGAATCCATTTTGTAATTTCCTTTGGCCTGCAGCAAGATTTGTTGTCTAGATTGAAGATTAAAGCATTCTATTCTATTCTATTCTATTCTATTCTATTCTATTCTATTCTATTCTAAGAACAGCTCCGTACTATTCAATGTCACTCAGATGGCTTTCTCAGGCATTTGGATTTTACCAGATGTGTTATGTTATGTTCTTACACTGTGAGGGTCTCTGGTCACCATGAGCCTCATTGCCTGGACAGCTGCACTCTGCACCCGAAGAGGCAGATCCAGAGGAGTGACAGACACTCCAGGAAGGAAACGCATGATGGTTTTCATGCTCCCAGGGTGCCCCGCATTTCCCAGTGCTTTCAGAGCGATAACCATTTCTTCTTTGTTGCCACTCCTCAGAGCCTCTGTAGCCATTTCCATCAGGGGCTAGTGCAAATGCAACACACATTTGGCTTATGGGTTATCAGTCACTTTCAAATTTCAGAAATCAGAAGGTGCTAATGTTGCTAAGCCTTAGTGAAGCTCTCTTCACTTATCATAGGATACATATTTGTATCTACTTATGATGTGTATTTCCAAATAAATTTTGATTCCTTATGAATTTTGTACCTGAACAGCAGTAACCAGACATGGCATAGTATATACACAGTACTTGTTCGCCAGAGAGCCATAGGAAAGTACCACAGTCCGCCACAGATAGGGGTCAGATTTACTGAATGGCAGCTTGAGGAAAACCTGCAAAATGTAGAAAGAAGGACATTTTTACAGTCACTTTTCCAGAATGTTTATATTGGTTTAATAGAGTTTTAAGTTCTAAGAAAAGTTTGATAGCCTTACTCACTTTAGTAATTTCAAGAAGTTGAGGTGTGACCTGAAGATGGTGAAAAGCCATTAAGATGGTTTGCAAAGCTTCAAAATGAGTCAAATCATTTGCCTTGAATCTGGTCTCTATGAAATTCAGAACTTTGACATCAGCAATTTCAACGATTGAGTCCAAAAACCAAGACCTGAAAAAGACAATTATAATTTGAACAAGTCAATACTTGTAGTGGAGTTTGCCTTAAAGTTGAGAATTTTTACATTAATTCATAAATGGAGAATTCAACTGTCCAACTTATTTTTTATTGTACTAATATGATACTGATATTTTGTTTGGATGAAAAGAAACACTCATGCTGACAGGAAACATACTGTGATTATAAAAATGACATAGAACAGGAAGTTTACTTTGAAGCCACTTTGAGCTTCAAAGGAAAACCCAAAGTGGCTGCGATGTGAGTGTGATGTTATAAAATGTCATTAACTATCCACCTACCTTTTCCCTAACAGAGAAACCTAAACATCCTCTCCCCAGAGAAAGTGGATTATCCCAAGGTGTTCTGCTGGCAAGAATTTAAGGACCATCTATTGGTTATTTGGCCCTGAGTGCAGCATGCTCTAGATACATCCTAATTAGAACCATGAACTATCTCATGTCTCTTCCTGGTACTGGGAGATAATCCTGTCTCTAATGCAGAGAGCAACCTCCACTTGGAGGAAGCTAATTTCTAATGCTTGTATCCAAGGTCTCATTTTTCTGGTCATAATCCCAATTTCTCGACCATAGGTGATGGTTAGAAAGTGAATTGACTGTTAAATTAGAAAAGTTGATATTCATCTAAGCTGTTCTGGATTACTCCAGACAAGTTCTCAAAAGGATAATCCATCTCCTGCTCCTCCTTGCCATTACATCTGTACAAGACACCCATACACTTAAATTCTACAGCTCGAGGGTTTGAGGTTCAATAATCTTGATAAATAGCAGCCCATAAAGGCAGAGAGATCTTGCCGGGATTAGGAAGACAGGGATGCCCTCCTGAGGCCTAGTGGTAGAATTTCCTCGAGAGCAACTGATGATTGAACCATGGCTCCTGAGGTGCAGCCAGATTCAAGATACTAAGGGAAGTTCCCTCCAGGTGGGCTCAGCATTCAGGAAAGAAAGATCATGACTGAGTGTCATGTGAGTTTGGTGGCAGACATGTGGCTAAGCTTGTTGATTCTTGGCATCATACTCTGACTTTGGTGGAATTGTCCATTGCTGTTTTATAAAAGATTAATCTTGTGTTTTTACAACCTGCTCACCTATACGTGGGATTTCCAGCTAACTCCTTCCACATGTTTTCCAGTCCTTCATTGGGTATCACTCGCAGGAGATGGTACAGCTTCATAGAGTCCTCAGTGGTGGCATTGTCAATAGAGGCTCTATTTAAGTCACTCAAGCGCTTGACCAATTCTATAGCCTGTAAAAGGGCATAGACATTATATTTTGTGCAGTTAATTAAAAAAAGTTGTAAAATGTAACTTTATGGACTATAAGATTGAATAATACAGAACCAAGCATATCACCTTTGGTACTGGGTTATTCAGGTTCTGCATCATCATTGGAAAATTAATGTCCACATCCTCAAACTTGTGGATAATGTTGCCTTTGTTTACCAGTGGTCCATGTGTTCTTCCTCTGGCTGTGTTGTCGATTCTCAGCAGCATCAAGTTATTCCTGCCAGAGTACATTTTTAATACACAGTATTTATATTTCAGATATTTTAAAAAAATAATTTCTCTGCCCCTACATTGCTTCCATCTTAAATTTGCCGTCCTTCACATTGAAAGCACTGAAGTGCTGTTGCTCAAACCCGTGAGCTCTGGTTATGACACCTCCCTCTGCTGTTGGCTTGATGGTGTAATTATACTTCATGTTTGAAATGACAGATTCTCCTCTCTGGATTGATGGAACAAAGAGACACAAGCAGAGCTGACACAGATCCATTTGACTTACAACTGCAAAGAAGGCTAAAATAAGAAAAGGATAAAAACCTCTTTGGCTAGTCTCTCCACTGGAGCAGTTGCCATTCCTCTGTGCATTACAGCCTTATCCTTGCAGTTTGTCACATCCACAACCTTAGTAAGGAGCCAATCCTTCGTCTCCTCATTTTCATGAATATCATAGTTACTCTGACACTTGCCATGGATTCCAATCTGCACACAAAATCAAAATCTAACATCAATTACCATTACCTATCACCAGTAGAATAGAGTTGTTCATTTCAAAATGGTTCACCTCCTTCAGCTCATAGATGGTCTGTGTAGTCTTCACAGTCAACTGGAAAAAATTGAGTACACCCCTGATAATGTTGACGGCAGTAGTGGAAGCCCGAGCAGGTCCAGTGATCAGAGTAATGTGTCCGTTGATATACTCAAACTGGAAAGGATCGGCAAGCTCAGAAGCAAGACGTTTGGTGACTTTTGGGGAGATTTTATAGTCCGTGTTGCCTTCAAAGCCATTATACTCAGCAAATGCCATTTCAGAGACCTTTGAACCAAAATCAAACAAGAAAGTCTGTCATTCTTGGATGACAGACAGCCACAGCAACCAAAAAAAATGCTAAAATCATAACATTTATGAGAAATCTGTAGCCTACAATGTGAAATGGTGTCCAGTATTAATACAAGAATAAACCTGAATGTCTTTCTAGTCCATGTCCATGATCACCACACTATACATATTGCTGATTTAAACATCAAATGGAAAATCAATTTCTAAAATAACTATTGGGTTTCTAAAGAGGTATGGAAAATGGAAAGACCAGTAACCTAATCATAAACATGCATCATCCTTATTAGTCGGCTAACTACTACTTTTCAAAGAACATAAATCTCTGAAAAGCTATCCTAGCACAAGTAGCTTATTGTATGCTTTATTATTAACTGCACTGCTATATCCTTGTGTAAGTTGGCTCTGCTCTAAGCATCAAAATAAGCAAAATAAATGTCAAAGAGTAGATAAAGTCCAAAGAAAAATAACTTATTTGAACTATTGTGAATTTACTGTTTAATTTAACATATCCATCCATCCCTATATTATATCACCCCACTTATCCAATACAAGACCACATTGTCTTTTTCTCACCTCAAGTAGGAATGAATGTTCAGATAAACCGCTGATCGTGGCCTTGCAGGTAATTCGCACCCCAGACTCTGCCATGTCATACTTCCCAAGTCCAAACTTTACCTCTCCTTCATATTTGTACTCATAGGTTTTCCTGTGGTTCAGGGTCATATCTGGAAGATGTGATCAACATTAAACTTAACATTCTTATTTATAAAACACTTTGTGAAATTTTTATAATACAATTTGATACAAAAAAAATAAATAAATAAAAAAAAGACTCACCATATCGTTGGTTTTGGCTTGCTGAAAGGTTAAAAATGAAAGAAACAAAATTAAAATTTTTGTGAAGAAAATTGTCACATAATGCTGATTTGAAGCCAGCTTGCTGTGTACAATGAAAGAGCCTGAAGAATGAAGTGTTATGGATTTGTCAAAGTATTTTGACAGGATGCATAAAACACCTTGAATAAATACATATAGTACTAAATGTCTAAATACATATGCCTTGAAGTACAGTCAATATTGAAGACTTTTCTGCTTTAACCCTCACCCTTCCTTACTTCATCTTCTACAAAGGCATAATTTTCTCATTTAAATTGTCATTTGAATGAGAAAATTCTGAATTTATAGTGAGCATATGAATCACATGAAGAATTGACAATATTTTAGCTTTAACACAAGCACATAAATTATCAGACAATCCAGCCACATTGTTTAAGTTAGTGAATGAAAACCTACTAGCCAAAGCCACCAGGCAGCAGAGAAGAAGACCCCGCATGGTGAGAGAGTAGTGGAGACTGTTTCTCCTGGCCCTTTAAATAAGAGCAGCTGTTTAATTTCACATTCAGCCTTGAGAACAGATGACATGCATTGATAAATGACATAGTCTGAGTAAACATTTGTCTTCTGATGTTAGGTCACATCAACCTGTGACATTGTCAGAGTGACACGAACAACAGATGAAAGGCTGTGTTCACCGAACTTTTTTTTTTTTTAATTTTACAAGGACATAACTATTCCATAGCCAACATAGAATTAAATAAATTGCAGATTGGGGGGAAAAATTAACAGCAGCTAGCACTCAAACCATCACAAGGTTTATGCAAAGCTCTCTGAAAATCAGTAAAAATTTTCAAAAGGCAAAGGGCAATGTCTTCCTATTATGTAAAATAAAAGTCTTTTGTCAAGTTAATGCAGTGACCACATCAGTACTGATGTAAAGCATGTACAGCACTGCTTTACGACATATCTTCCACATTTTCAAGTGGAAAATAAAAAAGATACCTTCCACCCACTTTTAGTACATGTCTAAATCAAAAATCTTCTTTCAAAACTATTTCATCAAACAATCAACGTTATGACTCTCTTGTCTTAATACCGGCTCTGAAAATCTTCCTTGGCTTCAAGAGCTCCCAAAAAATGCTCCTCACTAAAATGTACTTTCAGGGTGATGAAATCAAGCAGCAATCATGTCAAATGTTTAATCTTGATGACTTTCAGAATGACATTCTGTCAAAGTAACATGTTTGTCATTGTGTAACCATGCTCAGGCAATTACCTGGGTTATCAGAGCCTTTTTTTTCCCCCTCAAACATCATTTGAAGCCGTCAACTTATCTGATGTTTTATTTTAACATTAGCCAGAAGAGGGCGCTGAAAGCAGTTTTATGATGCACGTGGACTGAACCCAGGATATATATTATGTTCAATGTGTTTGAGTCAAGACAGATTATGTTGATCATGACTGATTTGTAAAATTATTAAAAAGATAAAACTTCCAATGCTTCAGACACTGTACTGATAAAACATCATTTGTCATAAGACTGCTTTTAAAACGTTTTTTATTTATTTGTAATTTGAAAAAAAATGTTTTTATAAAAAATATTCTCAAGCATACAGTTTATGATCGTTAACAAACAATGCAAAGAATCTGTGACATAAAAGCACGAGTTATAATCTATTCGAGGTTTCTCATCATGTCCAGTAGAGGGAGCTCTTGGCCAATAAAATCAGAACAATGCTATGCTTTGACAACGTTTATCAGCAATGTGTACGTTGTCACATTTCTCTATATGATTTAATATTAATTATAAAGGCGAATAGCAATAAAGAAATTATTTTCAGAAATAAAGGTGAAAGCAGGATGTCTAAGAAACAATTTAATACAAAAGTACTATCACTATTCTTTTAAAACATGTTTTTGAGAAAACAAACTAAAAAACAAGCAAACAAACAAAAAAAAAAACAACATGTCCAACAGTACTGAATAAAGATTGTGAAGTGGTCAGATAAAAGCATGTATATATTATTAGTATTTAGACACAAAACCAAAAATATTTTAAATCTGCAAATGCTACATTCATCAGACATTTGTATTTTCTTCCCAATGGTTTAAAAAAAATAATAAAAATAATCACAAGGTATCACAGAGCTGTACTATCAAATATTATTGTTAAAGTTCAGATGCTTGAGCTTCAGCTGGTAGGTTTCATCTTAGGCATTCAAAACAGCAGGGTACATTTTTGAAAAGTCTGTAGTATTCCTCCTGAATCTGAAAGAAAAGCAGAAAAAGGTTTACATCAGTACAATATGTTGACTTATACCCAAGGTTTTGATATGAATCTCATTGAAAAAAAAAAAGGAAGTATAAAGGAAAAAACAAAGAAAAATAAGAACCTTACCTTTCTGGACAGCACACAAAGGAAGATAAAGATAAACATTCCTTGGAAAGCATTGGTTATGGTAAACAGATAAGCTGTCAGTGTGGTTTCATGAAGAATATGCAATACTCCAAAAGTCCAGGTGGCACCGAGAACAAACAGCAGAGCCATAGCACCACGGGCACAGGACCTGACGGGAAGATTATTGATTTAACTGACCTGCACACAGCGTTGAAAGCCTCCGTTTTTGAAAAAGAACCTATTTATAATACAACATTCCAACAGGAGAATGCATCCTACCAATCAATAGAGATAAGAACTCTATTCAAGTAATTTCTTCTTGTTGTTGTTTGTGACCTACATAAACATAAATATTCCTACCTGATGTTTTCATAGTGGCTGATTTCAGGCTTTTTCACAGCGGTGTGCCGGTACACCTTGTAGATGATTACTCCAAAGGCCAAAAGATTAACCTTTAGTTTGAAACAAGGCAAACACAACAAACATGAAATGAGTGTAATGAATATTTATCAGAGGAACAACTTCTATTTGTGGAATTAATGTTTCAACATATTCAGTTTATTGCTGATACATCTCTTTTTTTTACCAGAATAATTAAACATGCAGGACCGATGAAGCTCCACACAAAGTGATTTTCTGTACTCAGCCAACACCTAAAAAACAAGGTTTGAGAAAAATATATTGGTGCTATTTAAAAATAGCAACAACAAGTTGATTACTGTTTGTATTTGTTTTTATTATTAGTATTTAGGTTAAAAACAACTTCTAAAATAAAATAAAAAAATCTGCTTTTATTTCTAAATCTCTTAATTGTGATTTGCATACATACACTAATTTTAGTCATGTCTTTTTCAAATAAGATACTTTATGTTCTGTGAGACATTGTGACTTACTCCTTCATACCAGAATTGTATGTATTTACCATGCTTTTGCAAATTGCAAGTTTGTTTTCTCCTCCCCCACCCCCACACACAAATTTGAAAAAAAAAATATATTGCTGCTTACACTCTGTCTGTGCCATAATACTTTGAGCCAAGTGTCGCTGAAATTGCCACCACAACGGCAGGGCTCCCATAGCCGAAGATGTAAAAGTTCCGATGTAGAAAACCTTTGTTGTAGATGACACCGACGACTATTAAATACAGATGAATGCCCTCAATGCACATCCAGGCAAAAGCTGCAAGAAAGAAATAGTGCAGCATCCCTGCAATCACAGAACAGAACAGCTGCAAGGAAAAGAGACAAGAGACAGAGAGATATTTTACAAGTTCTGAATGGGGGAGATTTATAAATCTGCTACACACTTCCAACATCTAATTTGTGTTTTTATGTGTAGATGAAAAAATATATAAATAAATAAAATGCAGATGTTATTGCAGGATTGTCAGACAGATGATTATAGCTGCTCTTCAAGTGCCTTCACACCTTGTGTGAGTTCATGTTGATCCCCACAAGGAAGATGAACTCAGCCATAAACAGACTGCAGCACAGGTTTTTGTGTATGGTGGTTCTGGTGCTCTGGATCTCGCTGAAGAACCAGAAGGTGAAGATGCACAAGGACAAACAGATGAGGGAGATGATCATCCCCAGCTGGGTGATCCGGGTCAGGATGGTATTGTGGGCTGCCAGCTGGGAAGCAAATGGAAAGGGAGGTGTTTCATTCGCAGTTTCATGGTATGCTGGAGTTGTAATTTGTTGTATTTTCTGCTTGGAATAGCTTCGTATAACATAGATGTAGGCAGAGGTTACTCCAATATGCCAGTTTGTAGACATGTTGGGTTTATATTGGTTTTAAAGTATCAGAGAAAAGCTCTGTTGAATTATTCATTTGAGTTTAAATGCTCTGTTTTTGCTTAGTCCATGTTTTAAAAGAATGTACTTTGTCATTAATTTTTGTTCACATCTGAAATTAAAATTACAGTTTTAATAATTATAAAACCCCTTACTGATCTAAGACTCCACAGAGTGCAGTAAAACAGTATTGCCTTTGGAAAAACAGCAAGCGTCTTCCCTTTTTAGTTACATTTCTCAATGTTTTAATGTTTCAGGTTTTTACGTTTAAGAAGGGCGCTGAAGTGTTGTGGAAAAGCTAATCTGCAGAACATAAAATACTGTACACAAATAATCATACTTAACAAAAATAATTAAAAATCCCTAACGCTATGAGTCTGAGAAAGACCCTTATATATTTACGGTGCAACAAAGTCAGTATGAGAAACATCATTGCATGTGTCCTGGCCTGAAACTCCAGCTGCATTAAACTGCATTAGACAAGTTAAACAGGGAAACCAGTGGTTGTGTATTTAAGAACGAAATTACTCACATTAGCTCTTCCAGATGACATGAGGATTGCAAAGTGTGTGAGATGATTGCAGGAACAGTTGGTTGCGTTGCTGCTAAAGTGGAGAGTCTTGCAGCCTTCAGTGGACCAGTGACCCTGCAGGCTGTCCACTTCATACTCCCAGAAGGCGCACTTCGTCACATCAACTTTAGTGTTGATGGGCTTTGGGGACAGAGAAGAAGCAGAGCAGGTGTTATCGCTGTGAAAGAGGCCGTTTTTATTAGTTTTACCACTGCGGTGCGTGGTGACGCCACATAAAACCTGATTGTGCCGGTCTCATCAAAATACCATTGCAAGTGACTGAAGCAGTCATTTGACTGAGTAACTCAGTTTTATGACGATGCATCGCTTGAGTTTCAATGCATAGCTTTGGCTACAGTGATTTTATTTTAAATATTATCTCTTTCATTTTTTCTTGAATAATATACATTTTGTTAAATTAATATCTAATGAAAAATGCAATTGAGTAAAAATTTGGAACACGTTCATTTATTTAAAAAATGTATTTCTGTGTAAAATACCAAACAAGGAAAGAATGCCACTGAAATTATTGGTTGTTCATCTTTAAAGGCAATTTAAAGATAATTTTCCCTCTTCAGCATAAATCAACACCACCTTCATTTGGTTTAAACCTCTAGGGGGCAACAAAAATAATGATATTACTTTTTCATACATTTTAATTATCTAAAAAGAAAATAGCAGAACATTAACTTTCAGGGTAATTTATCTCATTACATCCAGTTTTTTCACATTTGTTTGTGTTTTACAAGAAAGATGGTCTAAGATGCTAAGTTGAGATCAA